TACATACACGACTCATTCAGAGATATCTGCTCATATTCTCACACAGAGCACGGAACAGGAGGAGAGAGAGGGCGAGAGAGAGAGAGAGAGAGAGAGAGAGAGAGGGAGGGAGAGAGAGAGAGAGAGAGAGAGAGAGAGAGAGAGAGAGAGAAAGAGAGAGAGAGAGAGATGGAGGGAACATCACCAGTTAATTCAATCAGATATGTTAATACACACATTGGGAGCTGTGTGTCTATCTTCTGGTGACAGTGAGCTGTAATGATGGATGATCACACCTCATGCTTGATGCAGTCAGTGTGATTAATAACCTCTCTCTCTTCCTCTCTCTCCCTCTCAAAACATGTGCCTTGACCAAAATGTCTTTCTCATACAAAAAAAAAGAAATATAATGGAAATCTAAAATATTATAATTATATGATTTTATTATAATTATACTATATATTATAATTAAAATGATCTAATTTTTCTTTGCTGATACTGATACTGCAACTGAATATCAGCCACTACCGATACTGATGCATCATTTTTTCTACAAAAGTTGCTGTGCTTTAAAATGACCCATTTTTAATTGAAATACTTTTAAGATACGCATCTAATCTGTAGCCGGGAGTCCGAGAGAGCACAATTGGCCTTATTCTCTCTGGGTGGGTAGGATGGTCTCCCCCCTCCCCCCTCCCCCCTCCCCATCACACAGCTGACATAACAGAACTGTCCAGCAGTTCAAAAAGATGTGGTGGCACGTGACATAACTTGAGGAAGCATGTGCTAGCCTTCACCCTCCCAGCGCTGGTAGTATTGTTTGAATGGGGGGAAAATTGGGAAACACTCTACTATGATTCTATTTTTATTGATATTAACCCAACAGATTCTGACATTCTTCATGTTTTCTTATTTGGGATTTGTTCTTAGGTAAGAACAGAATCTACACACACTCAGGAAGATGTTGGTGAATGAGGCCCATTATCACAGACAAAACTTCATATTTTTGAAATGGCTTTTAAGAAGAAGGCAAAACATTCTTAAACGTAAATTCACATTCTTTCACAGGACGTGCAAAATATGACAAGAACTTTTGTTAAATGTTGAAAAAAGTTTTTAAAAGGTGATGTAATCAGGCTCGTGTGGAAAAGGAGCATCCACGAAAGACCCAGTCCTTTATGAGTGAGGATGGGTCGAGGCTCGCCAAAAAAAGGCATCAGCGAATCATCCAACAGTTTAAGAACAGCGTCCTGTAATGAGCATTTGAAAGGATTTATCCTATATTCACCCTATATTGTGCATAATATGTCAAAAGATTCAGGAAAGATCCAGAGAAATTTGTTAGTAAAGAGCAACGCCAAAAACCACAGCTGGATGCCTGTGACCCTCAATCCTTTCAGATGGCACTGTATTAAAAACTGGCATGCTGCTGTGATATCACCAGATGGACAATGAACACAATGTCAAAGAACACAGTTTGTCACTGCATCCACAATTTCAAATTAAGATTATGTACTATGCACAGCAGAAGCCATATGTCAACAATGTCCAGATAAGCCACCTACTGACCTGAAATAGAATGATGCACAGTGAAAACGTATTAGTCTGATGAGTTAAGCTTTCAGACTGTTAATGGAAATAACAGACATTGTGTTCTAAAGGTTAAAAATAAAAGGACCATCCAAATTACTAGCATAAAGTTCAAAGTTTAAAGTTTAGTGGCGCATTAGTGCTGTGGCATTGGTAACTTGCAAAGGCATTATTAACGCTGAAAGATATATACAAATTTAGGAGCAACACATTGCTGCCTTCTAGATGACATCCTTTTCAGGGATGTCCATGCTTATTTTAAAATGATTTTTTGTATCGGCCCATTCATGAACTGTTCACACCATGAAAGGGAGTTTTAAAATGATATTGAAAAAAGAATGATGAGGTTTTGTTATAACAGCTAGGATATACAACTATATTTCATGTTCATAGGCTCTGGCCTTCTTGTCTCTTCTATTTCTGACCCAGCAGCCAAATCCTACTTAAACATCAACACATGCTCATGAGAATCTGCACAGTGTTAGGATTCATTCACTACACTGAACAAGTAAAAATCAGACTGATTCATATTACTCATATTCTCATATCTCAAGCAGTATCAGTTCTGTGTTTAGACTGGACAGTGTGTGTGTGTGTGTGTGTGTGTGTGTGTGTGTGTGCGTGTGTGTGTGTGTGTATGGGGGCAGAAGAGAGAGAGTGTGAGAGAGACAGCAAGTGAGAGAGAAAGGAAAAGAAGGTTTAGAGAGGAGAGTGAGGAGAGACAGTGAGAGAGAGCGCAAGAAAGAGTGAGTGTGATAAAGCAGGACAAAAAGGAGAGAGAGCGAGAGAAAGGAAAAGGAGAGGGAGAGAGAGGACACAGCAGAAAAGACAGAGAAGAGAGAGAGGAAAAAAAAGGACAGAGGCAAAGGGAGAGGAAAGAGAATGAGGAGAAAGAGTGAGAGCAAGCAATAGAGAGATGTAGAGAGAGAGTCAAGGCAGGAGAGAGGAGAGAGGAAAGAGAGAGAAGGAGAGGGAGAAGGACGAGAGAGTAGAATAAAGAAAGAGAGAAAAAAGAAACAGAGGAAGAGAGAGAAGAGACAGAAAGAGAGAGGGAGGGAGGTGAGAAAATATAGAAAAGAGAGGAGAGGGAGAGAGAGAGAGGGAGAGAGAGAGAGGGGGAGAGAGAGAGCGAGAGAGACAGAGAAGCAGCGGAAGAATAAATGAGGATGTGTTGTGTGGGCAGACACGCGGAGGCAGAAGGGGAAAAAAAGAGGTAGAGAGATAGAGAGAGAGAAATAGAGAGAGAGAGAGAGAGAGAGAGAGAGAGAGAGAGATAGGTCCAGCAGACTCACTGGCTTTATTATATCTCATTGGTTTCTATTATTGCACCAAAGGCACTCTTTTTTCCAGCTCATGCCGAGGTTAACCCGAGTCACGCCGGCCCTGGAGACTCCGCATATCTGCCTGACAGAGATGGGAGCTGATTGGCTGTCTCTGTGAATTACCTGGCAGCTGGCTTTATCGTCTTGTTTTCAGTAAGGATGTCTTATTTCCATATGGTAAGGGGGAGAGTGATTTGATAGCACCGTTAGGGAGGGTAATCGCTTTTAACCCACATGTACATACGCACTCACACACACGACTACGCCTGAGTCATCACCATTTATCCCACTCTAATGCTGGCTTTACATGCTGGACCACTGTTGGTCGTGAAACATCATTTCCATAGAACTTAACAGGTTCATGAAGCAATAAGAAATAATCACGTCACATGTAACACATTTGATTATTTTACTAGTTAGCAGCTAGCGTTTTTCATATTTGACATTATTCTAGCTATATAACATTGTCTACAACTGTTGTGAACTATTTAGTCCACATTTACATCTTTGTATCATTTTACTGTTAAAAGAAGAGAAAATGAACAATCTAGCTATAACCTACAGACAGCAAGCAAGAGAGCAAGAGAGAGCAAGAGAAAGTGAGAGAGAGAGAGAGAGAGAGAGAGGGAGAGGAGAGAGAGAGAGAGAGAGAGAGAGAGAGAGAGAGAGAGAGAAAGAGAAATTATATGTGAGTACCTTCCTGGTGTGAAGGAACAACTCTGTATTAATGCCCTTAGAGTCAGAATGAGATGTCCAACAAGCTCATTTAGGAGTGATGGTCAGGTGTCCACATGCTTTTGGCCATATAGTGTACTTCTCAAGCTGAGAGACTAACAGGTCCTACTTGAGCCTACTAGGTTATATTTAACCACTTATCATAGCACTAAGTGATGAAAAGTCTGTAGTCATATTCACTGTTACAGTCATTCAATGCATATAAAATCAAGCAAAGCTAGCATTTGTGTGTGTGTGTGTGTGTGTCTGTGTGTGTGTGTGAGAGAGAGAGAGAAAGAGAGAGAGAGAGAAGCAGAAAGATAGTTCTCTTCTAACCTTCAGGCAAAACACTTGTCTGTAGTATAAAGCAAAAGGAATTTAGAAGATTTAAACCAAAGCCCATGTCCTTAAGCTGAGCTCTGCTCTCAGCAAGTAAAAGATAAAACAGCGCTGTGTTTTCGCAGTGTAATCTGCCTTGAATTACTGGAGATCACCACATACGGTTTTGGGCATTTGTTTCTGGAACATGTTCAACACAACATGCTTCAGGATATCTAGAGAACCCCAGTGTTCCGTGCAGATAAAACTACTGCGTGAACAATAACAAAACAACTTTTCCAATAAAAATGAGCTGAAGAAGACTACAGGCCTAGGGTCCAAACATCAGCTGCTTTTGTAGAGTGAATTTAGTACTAACTTTGCTTATGTGGGTTATAGTAGTGAAGGGAATTCTGACTCTTCTCAGCGAGTCAGATCAGTTGGCTCAGCTCAGCAATAGGAGTGAGCTCACTCTGCTTTCAAATAGCTCTTCATTCAGTAGCATTGTCAGTTTATCTGAATCAAACCTTGTTGGTGATACTATGACCTATGTTTGCTTTTGCTAATATACAGTGAAATAACTATTATATATGATATAATATTCAGTACAACCTTGTTCTACCTTCTAGGTAACATTATATATACATTATATAGAGCATTATTTTGTACTGTATTTATTATAAAACTAATTAATTCTATTAAACTGAGGATCCATTCTAAGAATTTGGCTCCTGATGGCGATGGCTCCTTTTAACCTGCCACCCGAGGTGTTACAACATATGTACGTTCACTGGCCAGAGTGAAATGTGCACTGTGTATGGACACTTTTTTGTGCTGGATATAAAGGGTTAAACGAAGGTTAAAACTGCAAGACTATAGCTTTACCGAGTTGATAAGAAGCTTCACTGGAGGCATTTTGATCAGGGTTGCACTGCATGTGAGCTTGTGATTAAACAAGCAAACAAACAAAAAGCTATTCAGACATGTGAGTCAGCTCTCAGCATTCATCTAAAGGAGACAGCTTAAACAATAAATCACTAAATCATAGCCAGCAGCTGTGAGTGTGTCAGTCCTCACCTCCAGGATCTTGCAGCGCTCGGAGTCACAGTCGCTGTCCTCACACGGATGGAACATGCCCAGCGTCACACAGTTCAGCAGGATCACGAGCATACTGGCCCGCTCAAACCATGTATAGAAGAGCAGTCAAGGAACAAAACTCGGTAAAGTGACATGTTCATACATTCAGATTAAACACATTTCAATCGCACAGCTTCAAAAGAAACAGCTACAAAATGAAAGTTAACCCTAATTTAAATAAATAATTGGTCACATTATGAAGTACAGTTACATTCGATTTTCATTCCATATCAACAGGTTCAACAGGTAACAAATGTAAAAGATGTATTTTTCCTTCTGCAAACCAATACTGTATTTACAACAATCATTTTCATCCAATTCAAAAGATAATAAAATATCTCCTCCTTCTGTTTACAAACACAAATATGTGGATAGGTTAGAATCTGTACTTTTATGAGATTTATTAACCATTTGCAACGTCCTTCACTTACCACCATTCAAAGCATTTTTTGGTGAGAAAAGGCCTCTAGCCTTCCTAAACATAGTCAAATGGAGGAAAAAAATACTGAGCAGTTCTATTTACGAATATAAAATGTGATACTGATTAAAAAGTTTAGAATCAGCACTTTCAATAGAATTTTTAATCACTTGTAACGTCTTGAGAATCACTTTTACGACCATTTGAGTAGCACTTTTTAGTGAGAAAAGGCCTCTAGCCCGCCTGAACATAGACAAATGGAGGAAGAACCACCTAGAAGTATTATTCATGAACATTGATGCAGTACTGATCGAAAGTTTAGAATCTGCACCTTTAACAGAAGTTATCCACTTGTTTCAATGAGCTATGAGTGAGAAATTATTATTACACCATGCTTGTGTAAGCACTGGTGATGCTACCTGTCTGTTACCTCAGCCAACTGAGGCCTAGTCTTTAGTCTCTATACCAAACATAATAAATGAATCTTTTATTACATTAAATCTATATGAATAAAATGAATCTTGAGCTTAAAGTTTGCCAACACCTTTTATGTGACAAAGCTGAGAGATAGATTGCTTTCAGGGTTAAATGACATTGTCTGGTATGACGCATGAGCAACTCCAAATTAACAGTGAGAACATGAGGAAGAACTAGTGTCAAACAAAAATATATCATTATATTACTGTATTATAGTCTGCCATAAGTATTACCTGTAATTATACACACCTCAGAGAAATGAATGTTTAGATTAAACGCATTACCACATAATAAAAGACAGCACTTAACAAAAACAGTGTATAATCAAATTGACACAGCAACCAGAAATGCCATTATAGATGGCTCTGTCCAGCCTACAGCAGGGTCACTGCAGTTAAACGTGTTAAAAAGAAAATAATGATTTTGTCATTAAGTTAGTCACTATTTCTCTTGATTTTCGTGCGTGCCAATGAACGATCCTCCGCACGCTGTCGGTAATTGATCACCGAGTAGGCGAGCGTTGCCGGTCCACAGCAGCCCGATGCCCAGCCAGGGGTCGGGCTCATGCATTTACATCTAAATTAAATACAGCAATGCTAATCCCCAGGCAGGGTGCTGTCTGAACACTGTGGCACCAGACAAAGAGCAGCTCGTTTTTCTCAATTACTGACAAAGACAACACCAAAGGGACACAATTAAAACAGCAAAGACGACAGATGAGAGGATACGACATCAAACAGGAAACTTCTAAAGGGGAGCTGGCTGGCAGCACCAATGCACTGTATGTCTCAGTGGTCCAAGCCATGGGCTATATTGTCTTATTGGTATCATAACAGCATAAGAAAAGGATGTAACAGAACTGCTGTTTACAGAGCAAAACCCGACGAGGATTTCCAAGGCACTTATGTAACTCGTAATTTCCTGAGAATCACTTTTATCATCACTTGAGTAGCATTTTTTAGTGGGAAAAGGCCTCTAGCCTTCCCAAACGTAGACGGATGGAGGAAGAGCCACCTAGCAGTTGGCCTTACCTGGGGCTAATGTTAGTCCCTCCATGAGGAGCTGACAATGCTGTGGTTTTGTGATTACAGTATGTTACAGTTGCCCAAAAAGAAAAGCCCCTGCTTGCTCAGAGCAGCTGAAGCTGTAATGTATTCTTCATGAATAATGTAAAAAAGACAGAGTGTGTCTCGCTCTGGCAGTCAGTGGAGGAACTAATTACAAGCTGCTAACTGCTGATGGGCCTCATTGATCTCCACACTGCTCTGGAGCCTCAACTTGATGAGTTTTGGTGGAGACCGATAGAACCACTGGGTGGGCGCAATTCAGCAGGTGATGAAGCACCTTTGAAAAGTGGCCTGAATGAAAGATCAACATTAGGATAGGGCACAGCGCTTGCTCACTGAGGCAATCTGAATTTGACTAAAGGAAGTTGCATTTAGAAGTTGCAGTTATCGCCAGGGATAAAAAAGCATACATGCAAAAAAGTGTTATTTGGAGTGATGCCATGGAAGAACTACTTGTGATTCCCAAGGGAACCTTTCAATGGAGAGTTTTGTGAAGAACAAATTTTGTAAATGAGATGTGCAACGGTGAACAACCCGAAGTTGAACCCCTAAAAAACCCAGGCCTCACATTCTAAGGCTTATTACTCAGCAAGCATTATTCAGTAAACTGCCAGATCTATTGTTCAGAAATAGAAGTGTCTAATAAAAGTTAAAAAAGGAGAGTCAGTTAAAGAACCTTCACATAATGTAAAGGTTCAATAAAACATTTCAAGATATTTCACAGAACTGCATATTTAAGAATTGTAGTAACCTTTAATTTTAAGAGGGTTTATAACTTCCTTTACATTTTTCCATGTGTTTGTTATTTAAACAAATGAGAAAAAAAAAATGTGCAGACTTGAAGCAACAGAATGCATTTAAATGCAGTTCCTTGTGTATGAAATTAAATATGTGCACTGTAAATCCCAGAACTGAGATTCATTTAGTTAAACTGAGTAAAGACAACTTAAAATTATCTAATAGTTACACTAAAGTAGTGATATTGAGGACATATATATTGATTATAATGATATTTCTAGGCTGGCACTGCAAAGTGAAAGTCTCCTGCAACTAGTTGCATGTTTTAAGGTGCATGCAACATTATTACTATGCAACTTGACAATCAGCAAACTACAAACTACCAACCTCGAGTCAGAAAGTCTCCTTATCAACCGCCCATTAAACCCTTTCCTTTTTTTTTTTTTGTTTTGTTTTTGTTTTGTGTTTGTTTTGTTGATGCAGTGAAATAGTGAAAATAGGTTGCTCAGTGTGATCATGTGATGCACTGTCCCTATTTTAATTGGCTGTTCCATTAAGCTGAGACACTTGCAGCTGAGTTGCAGGACACTTTACATTATGCAGATCAAGTGTAATTATTCTCATGTAGGTCTCAAGCAAATAAAGTTGCATGAAAGTTTCACTGTGTTATGACAACATCAGAGTTTTTGTGATTTCTGTTAATTAGGTTTTATTTTTCTTATTTTTTATGGTTTCTTTCAAATAATATCCATTATGGGTGATCTCTCATGCTAAAAGTTAGGTTTGCTTATTTAGAGGTATATCTTGAACACAAAACACCATCATGGTTAAGTTTTGTAAATTACTTTTAAGAACTGATGCTGATTAAAGTTCTTTGAATGATAGAAATATATATTTTCAGTTCCATTCACTGTAAATATTTGTATTGTCTTAATAATTGAAGTACTATGCAATTAAAATGTATGTGTATAACTAACCATAAACCTGTTCTAAAACTCCTGAGGTTTGCAGTTAAGAACTTAGAAAGTGAACTGATTACCTTAATTATGTTGAGCTCCGCTAACTTATGTGGGTTTACGTAATTATATTTTAATAATATGGCAAAACTAAAGTAATTTCTAACGTGTGACAAAAGCTGCTAAAAAAGGTTTGTAGATACTCATAAAAAACCCTTCAGTGATAAAGCTGTGCATCCAATTACATAATCCAGGCTGCTTGAATAATTTCTTATAGTATGACTTTAAATAGGAACATACGGCAAGCTTTACATCCAGCACACTCCGGGTGAAAGCCAGAGGGAACAGAACATCCTAGGAGCTGTGTGTTCTTTGAAGAGCAATGATATCCTCTGATATGCGCTCAGGCAGCAAGGGTACATACACGGATGTGTTCTGTCAGAAGGTTGACTGCATCCCCCCACCCTCCCCTTCTCTTCCTCCATACGCTTCCAAGCACATCCAAACACTGGCATGCTCCCTCACGTGGACACCCCTCATAGCTCCTCCATCACTAACCGAGTGTAGGTGGAAACTCGCTCACAGACGACAGCAGCATCAAAACCTCATCAACACCCCACGCTCTATAGCCAAATCCCCTTATGGGGGTCTCTTCATGCTCTAAAGCCTCTTTTTCTCACTCCTCTAACAAGGCGAAGAAAAGACACAAGTCAGAAGATTGGCGTGCCTGTGATTCTGCCGCTATCTCTAGCTAGCTCCCCATTTACAGGTGGATTGTTCAGGATAACACCAGAAACTCAGCTGGGAAATGTAATTGAAAAGGGTGACAGGAGTCAGAACAGGACAGCTTCTGCAGACAAATGCGAGTCTGTAAGATCATTGGATGGATGTGTATTTCAATCATATGACTATGCAGTACTGTACAAAAGTCATAGACTAACATGAAAAGTGTTTAAAACTACATAGGCAGTTAAAACACTACATAAAACACTATGTAACCTTAGAGAAAATACAAATAAACATAACATAAAAAATAAAAAACTAGAATGTCTTGTTTCAACCAAGTTCTTAATTCCATCACCAACCTGATTTAATATAATGAAGAACTGATCAGCTGAAGCAGGATGCTAACTGGATGGTAACTTTAAATACAGAACTTTCTCAAGGAGAGCTTTGGAAATGGTTAAGCTAACACACCGATACATATCAAATTACAATGTATTGTTCATTTACTTATTTGTATTTATTCAGATATTAAGTATTTGTCAAACAAATATACGTTTACTGATAAATAGCTTTATATATGGCCTTTAGTACTGTATTCACTGAATATCATTTAAGGTCATAAACACAAGCTGTATAGAACAGCTGGAATATCTGACCTAGTCCTATACAG